TTTTTCTTTACATGAAAACATGTACAATGGAAGTAGAAGTGGAAGTGGAACGTCTAGGAGAGGCGATCAGGACCTTGATGCAGCCCCCCTCAAGGATCGAGCAAGTGGGCATATGTGGAACATGGCGGAAGCTCCAGCTCGTACATACATGGACCAAATGAGATGACTTGCTACCTACAGGTGGACCTGACCTTTATGACAATGAATGAGCAACTTGACATGGATATTCTTCAATGGTGGAACCAACATGAAAGTTGATTCCCCATTATATCCCAAATGGCACGTGACATTTTATCTGTGCCGGTTTCTACTATTGCATCCGAGTCAACATTTTCAACGAGTGGTCGGATTGTTGAAGACAGAAGATGTTCTTTAACCGATGAGATGATTGAAGTGATAACGTGTTTACGGGATTGGACTCATGCAAAAAGAAGACTTCAACAGCACCCTGAAGATCCTGAACTACTCGAACTCTTTAGGAATACAGATTTGAATAATGTAACTAGTGTTGACGATGAAATTGAAGATGAATAATTTAATTAAAAAAAATTATTTAATTGTTTGTTTGTGAAGCGTGAATGTGTGAAATGTGAATATTACATTTATGTTAAAAATTAAAATTAACTATTAATTTATTATTTTTTAAAATTAATTAAATTTTTAGAAACTTACTAATCAACCCCTAAAAAATACTAAAAACCCCCTATAAAACTTCATTTCGCCTCTAAAATATAAAAAAAATATCAGGGAGGAAAAAATTATTCAAATCCATAGGACCAGTCCTGACCAGGCCTAGGGTCTGGTCCGGGTCTTGGTTTTTCTCATGGGCCTGGGACCGGTCCTAGGCCCATGAGTGACTGGTCCCATTTGGGACCAGTCCTAAGGGACCAATCCCAAACGGGCCCAGGCCTGGGCTTGCAAGGGACCAGTCCCTACCCAGCTCTAGTTTAAATAAATTGGTAGGTATGTTATATTAATATGTTTGGTTAGGAGGATAAATTGGTGGGTACGTTATAAAGATTACTAAATTTCCATCCTTTTTAAATATTAATATAATATATTTTTTATTATTTTTTGAATAATTTGTTTAACCCCTTACATTTGAAGTTTTGCTAAAACTCCTTGGCCATATAAAACTTTAATTTATGACAAAATCATCCCCACCCAGCCCAACCCATCGTTGGTTGCCAACCACCAGCACGCATGATCGGCCAGATCTGGTCGACTGTGCGTCAATATGGATGTTTTCGGCCATGTCAATGACCGAAAATGGCTAAATGGCTGTGGATCTAGCCAGAAACAACGAGATATGTGGTCGTTGTGTGTCATGGATCTGGCCGTTAATGGCAAGATCTATTCCGGCATCTATGGCTATGGATCTGGCCGTTAATGATTATATCTATTTCGATCGGATAGATTTGGCTTAGATCTGGTCATTAACGGTCATAGATATGGATAGAATAGATATAGCCATTTCCGGCCAGATCTACAGCCATCAATATGGTCGAAAACGACCATATCGACTCACGATGGCCATTTCCGGCGACTCCCTACGGTGGTTGGCTAGTTGCCGACGGTGGTGGCTGACAGGCAATGATGGCCTTGAGTGGCTTGTAATTTGTTTAAAATATAAGGGCATTATTGTCCAAAAACTTAATTAAATAGGGGTAAAATTGCACTAGTAGATTTATTTAAATTAATTTTAAAATAAGGGCATTATTATCCAAAAATTTTATTAATAAGGAGTAAAATTGTAATAAAAATAAGAATACCAAATAATATTAAAATACTTAAGAAAATGGTAATCAGGTTACCTCTTATATTACAAACAATAATTGCTATTGGTTTTAGAATATTACTGAATCTTATATACTTGACAATCAAATGTGATAATCAAGTAATTTTTTTTGCTCTTCTCTTGAAAGATTTGAGAGAGAGAATTAAGAGAAGTATGTTGCCCTATGCATTGGACCGAAGTAAAAGAATGGATTAGCTTGGTGAGCAAAGCTACGTATGCAAGTTTTTTTCTTTTTTTTTAATTTATTTATTTAAGAGAAACTTTAATTTCAAATATATTTACATTTGAAATATTTCGTAAATTATGAAATTATTTTTTTACATTTTAAATTATGTAGCACAAAATGAAAGAGTTAAAAGAACAAACTAAGATGGAAGGAGTTGAACCTATCTAATGCATAAATTTGTAAAAACGTTTTGGGAAATAATTCTTCTTTTAATAAGAATTTGGTACGTCGTTCTTAGTCACCTACCACTCAAGAATCAGTACAACAAGAGGAATTACTGGATAGATTTGATTGCTATGAAGAAACTATTAAAGACCAACAAAAAATCATCGAAGAATTAAAAAAAATAAAAAACTATGCACAATTGATTGAGGAAAGGGACAATACTTCAACTCCTATGATTGAACCCTCTCAATTATTTTTTTAACTAATCTTTTAATTGTTATTTGTTGGATGGTGATCTATTAAATAAAGTTAGTTTTTGATTAAACATACATTTTTAATATTTATTTAATATTTTATGCAACTACACATCTTCTCTCAAGCATATTTAAAAAATTATTAATAAATACATAACACTTATCATTAGAAATTATGACCCAAAAAAAAAAAAAAAAAAAAAAGTTGTTAAATGTAGCATATTGCAATTAATAACTTTTGTTTGTAATGTTATATTTTCGCTACAAACAAAATAAGCCTTTATAAATCATATGTTAATATTTATCTATTACAAAATAATTTCTTTCATGAGTGTCCTTTATAAATCACATGTTGATTGCTGCAAATTATATTTATATATAATGTAGTATTTTGGTGTAAGACATTCTTTAGTTATGCAAATCAAATCCTTATTTTGCATAAGCCATAAGCCTAAGATCTTTGAACAAGATAACTTTCACAATTCCATAATTTAGGAGAAAACATACTTTGATCCATGAAGATTCGCTTCAGAGAAATTTGAATGTAGATGAGAAAGGTTTCTCCGTCTTTTCCCCTGGAGTGGAAATTGTCAATATGTGGGTAGAGAGAGGACTATTATCAATATAAATAGATGACCATTATGATGCTTTATAATTCTTCCATTTTGATATGGTAGAATATTATTGGACACGTGACATCATGTAATTAGAGTATTCAAAGGTCTTGACATAGTGGAATATTACTAGACATACGACATCATGTAATTGTGACATCTAAAGATCTAATCAAAACTTGATTAATCTAAATATCTACATGTAATATTATGTAATTGAGGTTTTAAAGGTTTAGACATGTGATATTGTGTAATTAGAGCATTCAAAAGTTTAATCAAAACTTGATTAATCTATATATTGACATCCTATAATTGTAGCATCCAAGGGTCTAATCAAAACTTCTCTATAATTTCTTTATTTCGACTTGGTAAAATATTATTAGAAAAGTGATATCTTATAATTGGAAATAAAAAATCTAATTAAAACTTAGATTAATTTTCACACGAACACGGACGTTTCACGTTCCCGTCCGCATTCAATGCTTCAAATTGACGGTATGTGTTATTAGTCGAGAGAGACTGAGCAAAATAGAAAAAAGATTTAAATAAAAGGTGAATACACAAGGTCGTGAATACACAAATCTCAGTGACCCACAAGCGTCGTGAATACACAAATTTCAGTTCAGATGTGAGTGTAGACTGAAAATGGCAGGAAGAGAAGTTCGTGAATACAAAAATCCCCGTGACCCAAAAGGTCGAACAAGCTTTTTAATCTAATTCAATTCATTGATTTTATCAATTAATTGATTAACCATACTATGGTTTTGAATTGATTTGGTTGCAGATAAGAAGTGGGGTAAAGGCAGGGATAAGATTGACGATGAAGACATCACCTTTCAACGAATGGTTGCCAAGGTTAGAGCGTCCACTTCTCCCTCTCTTTCTGCATCTGGGTCTGTGTCCTTTTTGGATTTTATTTTCTTTTGTGGAAGAAAGTTTAAAACTTTAAGTGGTTGTGGAGAGATTTCTCGTAATGTTTGAGAACTTTATGTGCGTAGAGAGGTTTGTGATGATATTAGTTATGTTTTGTGAAAGAACTTGAAAACTTAATGTGGTTGTGGATAGTTTTCTGATAACATTAGTTCTGTTTTGTAAAAGAATGTTGAAAACTTGAGTTCTCTTTCTCTGTGATAATCAATTTCGATTCACCCAATTTTTTTTTTTTTCCTTTTTAGGGTCTTTTGACTACCATGTCCGTTCCTTATTTTATCGCCGCACCTCAACCTCGCCGCAGAAACCAAGCCAAGAAATCTTCCGGCTTTCGGAAGCGTTGTTTGCAAATGGTAAAGCAACAGAAAACCCGTTTCTACATCCTTGGCCGCTGCGTTTTTTATGTTGGCACGAATACCATCATGATGTCTGTGAATCAGTATGATTGATTTTGGTTGTTTAATCTTAATCATGTTTTTTTATTTATTTTTTTTATGGTTATATGGTTTCAAGCTCAACTGCGCGAATGCATGGGAAATAAGAGACTTAATTGGAGGACATAAATTTTTTTTTTTTTTTTTTTTTGGTAGTTTTAATTTGGGGTAGTGTAATTAAAGAAGAATGATTATCGATTTTTATTACTGTAAATCTCTGTTGGTACATAAAATATATATTAGAGGGAAAAAAGGAAGAGGAAATTAGAAGCTAATGGTTATTTCTGTGAAGTTTGATGGAATGAATTAATTATTTTGTTATATGCTTCAACGGAAAGTTTAGTATAGCAGTAGATTTCAAACAATTTGCAGGTACCAACAGAAATTATTTCTATAATACAGTCGCTTCTATGAGAGATGTTAATTCACCTGATGCTTTGCCTTCAATTTTTTTAAATTTTAGTAACCAAACTTCATGATTAATATCTGTTGTTATTACTGGTAGGCGGTACGTAAATCAATAACGTTGCTGGAGAACGTGGTGGCTATCTTCATGGGCGAGGTGGTCACTTGGCCATTGCTATTGTTAGAAATTTTGAAACGAATGCTTAGTTTTTATACGCCAACTCTGTGTTATATGTTATGGATTGACGTCCAAGTTTCTATGGTGCCATTAGAAATACGTTATGTTGAAATTTTTGAAAAGTAGACTAAGGTAATTTATCTGAATGGTCTTACTTTGTTTTTATGTATGGAAGTACCTATTTAGCAAATCAGTAATCACCATTCATTCTTGCTGTTCTAAAATCAGTTATTAATTTGGAAAGTTATGCTTCTATTTTTCATAATATAATGTCTCTGTCTCATTTTCATTCTCATAGTCTGATGGGTCAATTTGGATTGGTGGGTAATTATAGGTATACGTTACAGTATGCCAAATATACCATAACTTTGTGGGGGCTAGGCTGGCTACAGTTGAAGCCTGTGTTGTGTGGATGATATGAATCATTCCTGCCATTATGCGAGTCTTTAAAGTTTTTTAAATTTATTTGTAGTTTACTACATGAATTGATCATTATTGAAACAGGTATTGGATGCGACAGATAATGAACCTTGGGGTCCTCATGGCACTGCATTGGCTCAATTCTCAAATAGCACAGGTCACTAAGAAATTGTTAGTTTGTGTAAACTTTTTGCAAGTATTGATGTATTTTTAAAGAATGATATCTTTATTTTGCAATTAACTGATTAGTTACTATGTCTGATAGCTCTGAATGTCAGTTAGTAATGAATGTTCTGTGGACAAGATTGGGTGAAAATGGCAAGGACTGGCGTTATGTTTACAAGGTAGCATATTCCTTCATTATTGCAGTATCAACCTAAAGATTCGTATATAAAAAATCTTTTAATATTAAGAGCGGCTGACTGGGCAAAGCTTGAGTTTGTGCAGGTATGTATGGTTTTCTGGTATTGAATTCCTTGAATGTAGCATTATACCATACTTAATTGTGTTATTTTTTGAGGTTTTGCAGCTTCATGGAGACAGTTCTCAAGCAGCATTTCCAGAATTAGTGCAAGAAAACCCAATAATTTATGTTCTTCATGCAAATGAAAATGGGGACCTTCTAAACCAGATTTATGATAAAAGAGTGTTCTTTGGTGTTTTCTATTTTATCTCTGGATCTGATTCAGATCTGTGAAATTTCCTATTGGATCTTCAAAATTTTGGCTGTTATTTTAATTTTTTTTTTTTTTAAATTGTTTTTCGTTATATATGTGTTTTACCTGGGCGTCAGTAATGTACGGGATCTTTCTATACATCAATAGCTCCGCTGTTCACTGGAGTCTCGGTGTACACATCAGCTTCGTTAGGTAATATTTATGTTCTTCATGCAAATGAAAATGGGGACCTTCTAAATCAGATTTATGATAAAAGAGTGTTCTTTGGTGTTTTCGATTTTATCTCTGGATCTGATTCAGATCTGTGAAATTTGCTATTGGATCTTCAAAATTTTGGCTGTTATGTTATTTATTTTTAAATTGTTTTTGGTTGTAGATGTGTTTTACCTGGGCGTCAGTAATGTACTGGATCTTTCTATGCATCGATTACTCCACTGTTCACCGGAGTCTCGGTATACACATCAACTTTGTTAGGTAATATAGCTGTTATTATTCCGATCTCTATTTTTTTTTTTTCTATTTAGTAAACGTTGTTGTAATTCTTTATTATTTTGTCTTCTTCCAAATGCCCCTTTGTTGCTGTTCTCCTTTAGAAATATGTTTATTTGTTTTGCATTCATGATTTTTTTTTTTTTCTTCACATTATGTTTGTTCATTTTTTCATCAGGATTGAGTACTGGTGGCCTATTTCAGCTCAAAATTTTCAACTTCCACAGTAGGCGAATCCAAGGTATTGTTAAACACCTTTTTTCATCGTTGACAATTGTTTTAAACATCACTAATCATGTTAAGATTGTGTATTTGCAGGTGTAAAGGGAGGGAACTTAGAAATTTTCTTTTAATGATGAGGAGCGTGAAAAGAATGTAGCTTTGGTTAAGATGTGTGGGATTACATCAGCTAAAGATGCTGCTATAGCAGCAGAAGCTGGTGCTAATTTATTGGAATGATTATTTAGCCAAACTCCAAGCGGTCGGTTTCGCCTGCAGTTGCTAAAGAGATTTCAAATTTTCAAGAGAATATGGGGCAGAGCCTGTTGGGGTGTTTGAGGATGATGACGCAGAGACGATATTGAGAGCTGCTAACTAGGCAAAGCTTGAGTTTGTGCAGGTATATATGGTTTTCTGGTATTGAATTCCTTGAAATTTTTGATGGGAATCGACCAGATAAACATCCTTTACCCAAGAATACTTTTTTCTATGCTAAGCTGCTACTGAATTGAATTGCTGCTGAATGAATTGCTATGGTTATTGTTGTTTTTCTATGCTAAACTGCTGCTGAATTGAATTGTTGAGGTTAATTGATTGTCTATGCTGAGCTGTCGTTGATTTGAATGATTGAGGTTAATGTTGAGATTCTCTACTGAGTGTTTATGGACAGAGTGTTTATGCTGCTGAGGAAGAGGGTGTTTGTGTATGATGATGCAGAGACGATATTAAGAGCTGATGACTGGGGAAAGCTTGAGTTTGTGCAGGTATGTATGTTTTTTTGCTGTTGAATTCCTTGAAACTTTTGATGGGAATCGACCAGATAACCATCCTTTACCCAAGAATACTTTTTTCTATGCTAAGCTGCTGCTGAATTGAATTGCTGAGGTTATTATTGTTTTTCTATGTTAAACTGCTACTCAGTTGAAATGCTGAGGTTAATGTTGATTGTAATGACTGAGGTTACTGTTGAGATGGTGTTTATGGGCAGAGTGTTTATGCTGCTGAGGAAGAGCTGTTGCCAGTTGCCAGATTTTTCTGCTGTAAGTGTTGTTGCCAGTTGACAGATTTTTCTGCTGAAGAGTTGTTGCCAGGTGTGATAAGAACGGCGATGGGTTGCTATCAGAGGAGGTATAGGAGGTGAGGACTCATTATATATGCGTAACCAATGAATTGTCCTTAATTTATTTCTTCAATTATTCGGTGCTATTACAATTTAAAATTTCTCATAATTTTTATGGATAAAGGTCATAGTCTTGAGTGCCTCTGCAAATAAGCTCTCAAATTCTTAAAGATAACGTTGCAGCATTTGCAGGCAGATCCTGACCTGAAGGGATATTTAGAGGTTAGCATTTTGAAATGAATAAGTTCACAACTATTATATATATACGTACATATTCTTTTCTAACTTATTATATTTTTACAATTTGTTTTACTTTTAATTGAACAGATGTGACAACTAGAAATTCTACTACGAGGAATTGTCTCGGATAATGGCAACAAGGTGCGCCATAGCAACTAAGGCAATTAAAATATATATTTAGTCATTTTTTAAATTTAACTCAAATCAATCTTCTTGAATTAAGGCAAATATATCTATATTGTATCTTTAAAATTAGACAAAATTAATATTACTCTTTAAATATCAGTGATCTTGATAGGCTATTTATGTTAAAATTCTATATTTACACGCTCCATTTTATAATAAATAGTATAATTTAATATAATTGTCTAATTAATTTTTTTTAAACTTTTCCTTTTATAAAAATTTAACATTTTAGGCTCTCTTATGGAAAATAAAGGAGTTACCTTTCAAAGTTTTTTTCTTCATAATATCATTCAAAATTATACATAGTATTAATATAATCATTTTCTAATGTGAATGTTATAAATCTCAAGACAGTCCTACTTAATATATATATATATATATATATTGTAAAATCTAAAAATATTTTAAATTTAACAAATTAAAATATGCATATTTTTCCTGACATTTTAATCAATTTCTTTTTGCACATATAGTATTCTCTTAATAATAAAAATTCTTAGTTATAAAATTAAACATACAAAGATCTAAATTAAAAAGTTTTGCTCAAGTCCCACAACAGCTGCGGTCGTCTTGAATTTCATAAAATTTCTCAAGGATGCAATGTAATATAATCTAAATTAATGTTTTCGTGTATAAAGAAAGGAACGTGATTTAATTTGTAAGGGTAGTAGATTGTAACATTAGGTGTGTATGTTGGCATCGTTTTTGCTTGCTGGGTTTGATACAAGTCTTTCGCAACTTTTTATTTAAAGGTGAATGAGCAAATCATCATTTTGAGAATTTCTCTTGAAAGTTATCTAGATTTTTAATGTATGGATTAAAAAGGTTATATCTGTCTTTTTCTATTCAACTCAGATTCAAAATTTTTAAGTTTAAAACTTCACTCTGAAACATTCTTACTTTCTCTTTCTATACTACCCATTCATTTTTTAAAAACCAAGGTTATTGTGTCGTACGAGGATCAGTATTTGTTGCCAGATTTTTGTGCACAACGTTTATGCTGCTGAAACATACGGACTAAACTAATAAGAAGAAATGTTCATTATAAACCACACAAGACAAACACTACAGTCATATTCGAATGAATCAGCAACAATACCAAAAGACAAAACAAACGAGGATAGAAACTAATATAAGAATTTCAAAGAAATGATAAATGAAGAAAACCCTAAATAAATAGTAACCCAATTTTCAAGCAAATTGTCAGGTTCACAAAACATTAATTATACAATTTAATATTATTTATTTTGATTAAATGTGTACACATTGACATGTAATATTTATATGAAATTAATATTCTTAATTTCTTTATTATTTATTACTTTAATTATTAATTGAACATTATATTAAATAATATTACAAATATTTACTAATTTATTATTTTAGTCCGTCCTAGGATACTATTTATATTGTATAATTTCTAAATTATGTTAGTATATTTTGTAATTTATAATTAATATAATTAGTAGATTCAATATAACATTTACAACCTATATAATGTCTGTGCAACTATAATAGATCTCAACCAATTGAAACATCCAATTATTTAAACAAACATGGTGTCAAAACAACTTTTTTAAGCATACGGCACAACGTGCGAACCTTTCAACTTGGGTAATCAACCCTTGCATAAAGATGATGCATATAAAGGGAATGAAATTTGGCTTTCATATGAATAACCCCAAACACATCATTGGTTCCTTCCTCACTTTCATTGTAAATTTTCTAATTAACATAATTAGGAGATTTAGTAAATCATTTTCGACCTATACAATGTATGTACCTTTATAGTAGACATCAACAAATTAAAACATCCAATTATTCAAACAAACGTGGTGTTAAAACCAATTTCATAAGCAACCCGTGCAATGCGCCGAACTTTCCTCTGGCTTTATATAATCACACCTTCCATCAAAGTGTGCAGTTAATAGAAAAAACCTCTCTATTGACCAATAAGATTTTAGCACATAAAATAATTATTAAACCAAAGTTATACTTTAACAAACAAACATAATATATAAAATTTAAGGCACGTGGGCCATTAAATAAAAATCTAACATTGAGTTGCAAATTGTGTTTCTAGAAATATTTATTATAAATTAAATTTGATTTGGCAACCAAAATTTTAGTTGTAAGTATAACCCACTTATTATCGCTATGGAATATACATATTTGTCAACCTTATGAGTTGTGTGTGCACAACAGTTTGTGCTTATACACTCGCTTTAGATATTTGTAACCCAGCACGAGTTGCATGTTTGATAAAGTAGAAAATATATTTGTTTTTCTTTGTCTCTAACTTTTTAGGACCTTTTACATGTGTCATATTATCCTAAAGTGGTCATAGGGAATAAAGTCATCTTTCCCGATTTGTTTTGTGGTCCAAACCAAAAGAAGGAATACTTTCCTTATTTGGACAAATATGGGTCAGCCCCTTGTTGGTTGACGTGACACATATGTGTTGAGCAAAAAACCCTACACTATATAACATTCTCTTCTTGCGTATTTGAATCTAACCTTTTGATCTTTTATTTCTAGTACTCTGAAATTTCTTAAAGTATTCTTTCTCTTAAAAGGTTCATAGGTTCATTTACACTTCGTGCCAAAACCTCACCATATCTTACATTGTCTTGATGGCTCTTGGAATGTGGTTCCTTTGCTTTTGCTGATGCTGATGCTAGTGCGTGGCGTCGATGCTTGAAGCTTGGTGGTTCACAAGCTGTTCTCGGGTGTGTTCCTAGAGTGAAGAAGGTCCAAGGAGTTTCAACACGTTAAGGATTTAGAGTGTGGTGCTAAGTGTAAAGTTGAACAAAGAGTTCTTTTTACTGTATCTTAGATCAACTTTGAACTATATCTTGTAATGTGTTTTTAACTTAGTGGATTGCTTTGATCTGGACAAGATCCCATGGATGTATGCTAAAAGTGGATTTTAGCCGAACCATGTATATGATTGTATTCTTTACTATCTGCACTTGTGTTTGATGTGTTTAAATCTGAATTTTCTTAATCAACTTGGTAATACTTCCGCTGCACTTAAAATTGATAACCATACACTAAAGTGAGTAAACAAACTTCCCAACAAGTGGTATTAGAGCTTGTTTTGATAAGTTGCTTTAGTTGATCCATACCCATTTTGGTTGTTTTTGTGTGCATCTATTTGGTCTTGTGTTTGGACGAAATTTGTTCTATGTTGCGTTTTATTTTAGATCTGCTGCATGTCTGTGTGTGCATGGTGTGCTGTCATAGGCAACTAAGATTAAAAAACCTTCCTAACCTAACTACTGAACTGTAAATAGGGTAAGCAAGGGTCTATCCCACGAAGAGTGTCTAATCGAATTTTCGATGATGTGAACAAGGTTGGGGGGTTTTGAGTAAAACAGAAAAACAATCTTAGCAAAAATAACAAAAACAATTCAATTCGAAATCAATTAATATAGCAAAACTTGGTCTCAGTCAACATCCACCATCGAAATCTTACAATTGATCATTGATGCAAAATTAAATCAATTCATACCTGAATATTCACCGTTGGAACTATTTTCCTATCTCTCCTTAATTGTAATTAATTAAGAAACAAGCGATCTTAATTAATCTTGCCATTAAACAACCCTAGACAAGCGCTCAAGATTTAATCTAGTGACAGCCTTAAGAATTAGAGAAATCGATGAAGCTAAACAACACAAACTCAAGCGGTTGTATTTAATTTAGTTGACTGTTCTTCTTAAGATTACTAATTCTTGACGCAGCAAATTATTAACCCTAATTGCTTCACAAGTTAGAGGGATCAAACAATTATGGATTTGATATCTAACTTAGCAGTAGATTGCAACAATTAATAAACTAGTAGGCCTCCCTAGTAATTAAACGAAACAATCATAAAATTAGGCACATAAAAACATCCAATACTCAAACACGAAAATTGAACACTAAGATAAATATATTAGATCTCACAGTTTATTGATTCCGAGGTCTCCGTTTCCTTCGACCAAGTTACAAAAGTTCTAGCCGCTCATGGCCATAATCAAAACTCAAAAGAGAAAGAAAAATTCCAGAGAGGAGAAGAGAGAGGCGTGGTCCCCCTCAAAAACCCTAATCTGATCCCTTTAGCAAAAATCCAAGTTCAAGTATTTGAATCTCACTCAATCTCCTAAAAGAAATATTCTAATATCCTAAAATAACATTAATCCTAATTTGATTCTAATTAATTGAAAATAAGATAAAGTCCTAAAATAAAATAGGAAAGTGGTGATTCTGAGCTGTAACTTGTGTGCCACATGTCCTCAAATCTTCCAATAATAAACTGCCCAATTGATTTGCATGACAAGGCAGAATGCTCCAGGACGTCCAATGCAGATGCGTCAACTTCAAGCTCGATTATAACCTTGATGCAGTGATTATCTATCCAAACTCAAAACATGAAATTTGTAGATATATTTCTTAGCGTTCCACATCATTTTGAATCATCTCAATCGGATCTCGGATGAGAGAGTTATTCCCAGATTACGAAACAATGTCGAAACTGTCCGAATTCACTTAATTAGTTCCGTTTTGCAATTAACGCCTCCATTTGCATCCTAAATCAAAATAGAATAATAATGAGTATTTTTTTGCAACAAATACGTATAAAAGACTAAACATTAAGGGGGGTAAATATGACATTTTGCATTCCCATCAGTGCACCACCATTTGTTGTGTTAGCATCTGTCTGATTGGTTTTTGTCATGAGTTTCTTTACAGAAGGAGGGTCTGCTTATAGACCACCCTTGTTAGAAGGACCTAACTATTACACAGAGACCTACGATGCATGCTTTTCTTAAGTCTATTGATGAAAGAGTCTGGTCCATGGTTGTGAATGGTTGGACAACCTCGGTTATTGTTGAAAATGAAGTGTCTAGACCAAAACTGGCGACTAGTTGGACTACTGATATGTAATGTTCTCTCTCTCTCTAGCTAGTATACTCGTAAAATAACAATAAAACTTACTAAATGAATGTATGGCTCCAGAATCAATTAATGCATAAAGGGGAATTGAGTGAAATAATAACTGACCGGTAACTGCGGATGGGCTAGCTTCAGCTTCTCTTTGAGCTACTGTAAACACCCCAGCATTGGTATTTCTAGGTGTCTACG